TATATATATATATATATATATCACAATTTATGTGTGTGTTTTTTTCATATTATGATTTGAGTAATAAGTGTACAAAAAAAAAGTTGACATTACAAAAATCTGGTCAAAGTTACACTTTTAATTCACAAACCAATAAAATAGGAAATACTCAGATAACAAAAAGGATGAGGAAGGTAATTATTTGTTTAAATTGGTTCAAATTTATTAAAACTGAATAATAATGCATGAGAATAATTCAAATGAAATGGGCCATGTGGAATTAAACACCGAAAATCTCAATAGAATTTTTCAGAAAATTTTCATGTTTCACGTATTGTTGGTGAATATTGTCAATCCACTCATGCTTTTCGCACTTACATTTTTTTCAGTCAAATCTCAATTTATTAGATTTTAACGGTAAAGACAATGACATGGTTATTTTTTCGTGACCGAGCGAAGCAGCTACGTACAAGGGCATATATTTATTATTCAAAATGTTTAAGAGTTCTGATAAAATTTTGTAATACTTGGGAAAGATATATTTTAATATTATTCAACAATGTGGGGACTAATGAATTAATATTCCGATATATCACATCTAATTGCATTTTTATTCTTTTGAGTTTTGGCATTTAAGTCCAGAATAAAGGTCTACTATGCAATCAAGATTTTTTCAAAATAAATAAAAAATTGTTTATCTTTAATTCCAACCCCCATTAAATTTTGTTGTTTTCTCCTCGTTTTTTCATTGATTTTTCGTTCATTAGATTCCATTTATGATTTTGTAATTTTGTAATTTATTTTTTCAAAAATGTATTGTTATATTTAATTACTATTTTTACTTTCAATATTCCAATTTTATCATTAATGATGTTCATTTTATAGAGATGACTATTACAAGATTAAAAAAATATACGTAATGTATTAAACAGATTTTTCATTTAAGACCATAGATTCAAAAATGATATTTTTCTACTCAAATTAAGATATATAAAATGAAATAAATTAGTATTATTTAACTAATATTGATTAATTCGAGTTTTTGAAAAAATCTCACTAGTAAAAACTCTAAGTTCAAATTAGGGATATTCATGGTTTGATTTAAGATGATTTTCTCTAAAAGGAAATCAGATTAATATAATAGAATTAAATTTTAAGTATTAAAATTAAAATAATTAAATCAAACTTTCATCGGTCCATTTCTTGTTTATTTTTTAATAAAAAATGGTTATTTTTTTTGTAGATATGTGGCATATAATGTCATCCACTTATTCTAATTACTATAGGAAACATAATATTACAAGCCAATCAATCTTTTAATAAAAGTTGTCACAAAAATATCTTTATGGGAATATTGAATTAGTCAATAATTGTGATTAAAGACTCAAATAAACACATAATTTTGAACTTGTCAAAATAAAGTTAACAAATTAAAATAAATTATAAAGAAAAAGAACTAAACTACTGTAAAAGCGAATGACTAGACTAAAAATAAAAATGCAAAAGATCACAAGCTACACTAGAATGTGTGTGTAATTGCAATTTTAAATAAGTATTTAGGAAATTGATTTGAATTTGGTTAGTTTTTTTTTTTAAAAAAAAATCAAATTAATAATTATTGACTTTTAAATTTAAACATCAAAAGCAAAAAAAAAACAAAGTAATTTTTTCTCTAAATTGAATTAGGTTTGATTTTTCTATTTCTCGTGAACATCGTACCTCAAATAATTTCTTTAATTTTATTAAAGATGGTATTACATAGTAAGCTGAGAGTCATTATGTAAATAATAGAAGTTAGAGGATTAGATAGAAAATAGTTAGTTAAAGTAGTTACAAAAGATTCTTTCCTTTCCTGTATATAAATGTACTGATCTTGTTCAGTTATGGATTAATAAAAAGTTCACTTTGAAATTTAATACTTCTGAATTCCTTTCTCTGTAAACTCAGAAGCTATCTTCTCCATGATAGCTTACATGGTATCAGAGCGAAAACATAAACATATCCTTGAAGTGGCTAGAGCAATCAGATTCCAAGGGCATATTCCTCTCAGGTTTTGGGGTAATTGCATACTTACCGCTGCTTATCTCATCAATTTGTTGCCAACTCCTGTGTTACATGGCAAATCCCCTCATGAAGTATTTCACAATACCAAACCTTCTCTCCAGCATTTGAGAGTTTTAGGTTGTCTGTGCTTTGCAAAGAATATGTACATACATGATAAATTTCAACCAAGAAGTGTTGTTGCCATACACATGGGGTATAGTCCTACTACTAAGGGTTATCTTCTCTACAATCTCAAGGACAAGCAGTTCTTCCTTAGCAGAGATGTGGAGTTTAGGGAATCTACATTTCCCTTTGCAGTTCCTTCTTCCACTGCCTGGCACTTGTTTCCTTCTGTTAATATTTCATCAGATCCTCCTACATCACATGCTGTACCTCCCTCTGATATGGTTGATTCAGTTGATACTCCTGCTCTGCCCGCAGTGTTACCTGAGTCTGGTTCAAGGGTCTCTGAAGTTAGGAGATCACAAAGGAGTACCAAAGCTCCATTATGGATGCAAGATTATGTAGCTTCTGCTCATCTCACCCCTATCAAACCTCTATATTCTATTGACAAATATCTTGGCTATGATCATCTGTCTCCGTCCTATCAGGCATTTCTCTCTTCTTTTGGTCATGAGGTTGAACCTGTCACCTTTGAGGAGGCCTGTCAGGATCCTCGATGGGTTGAGGCCATGCAGGCTGAAATCTCAGCCTTGGAAACTCATCAGACTTGGAAAGTGGTACCCTTACCTCCTCACAAAAATGATTGTATGTTATATCATCCTGTATTTCTAGTTTTAATATGCACATTTGGTTTAATAATATAAATAAATTACAGTGCTAAAGAAAATTAGGAATTTTCAATGTTGACAAACTTGAAAATTTTGAAAGATTAAAACTATATATATAAAGTGCTACCAATCACTACTTAGAGACGTGTTACCTAATTTTAGAAAGAAAAATACAACAAGATAGATGCAAGTTTCAAATTTCTAACCACCCAACATCATTGCATTATTTCATACGTCTAGCATGGGTTCATACATCTATATTTGAATATATATATATATATATATATATATATATATGATTTCAGGAGGGCAGCATGGGTTCACGTGAACCCGGTGACCTCCTCCTGCATACGCCTGTCATGGGAACACACAAGACAAAGCGAGTGGAAAATTGACTATGGAACTTGAAAGATCTCGAGTTTTATGCCTCTGTTGAGGTTGTCAAAGGTAAGAGACAAGTGTACATGTCGTCAACTTGGATAAAATTCAGGGACTCCGCCATTGTCCTCCTGGGAAGCTGATTATGAGTTTGAGAGATGGTATCTATCTAGCTTCCTATGATGCTCAAACTCCCCAAATATATTGTTCCACCCATGTCTGATCTTCCAAAAATGCACTATGTGAAATCCAACACGGAAGGGACAACATTTTTGAAGAGTTCGAACAACATAGATGGCTTTTATACATGCACTCATACATATCAGTGAATACTCATCTTTCAATATTCTAATTGATTGATGATAAGGAGGTATACTTGTATTCAACCAGCTTTCAATTGTATCCTTAGTTGAATTTTGCAAGTGCTGCATAAATAGAAGGTGTAAGATGAAGGGAAACAACTACTAAATTACGAAAAAACAAACAAGAAACAATGTTGTAAAATAATAAAGCTGCATAACAAAGGCATGATTTTACAACAAGAAATCATAGTGAAAGACCATCTGATATATATTGGTCATCAATCACCTAAAACATACAGAAAAAGGACAGGCGATTCGGCTCTAGGCGCACAATATACTTGAGCATGAGCATGGTTGCAACAATTAGCTAAGAAAGAATTCCATTCTCTTTGTCTGTGCTTTTGCTGCAATTTGAAATCAACATGGAGCAATTAAGCAAAAGCAAGCATCAAATTAGAAAAAGGAACAAGAAGATTATACATATTTCTATCAAGTTAGATACAGGTAGATACTCAATCAGCACAGAGGAGATTGTTTCTACTTACTTAGATAGTGATGAGGTCTATACAGTCGTTTTCTTCATTCTCTTCGACTTCTTGCTTAAACCTCACAGCTGAAGCCTCCAGAGATTTGTTCTTGCACCTAGTAAACTTAATCTATTTATATCTGCAAAGCTAAGGGGGATCTCCTCGAGCTTGTCACACCATTTTATAACAAGTGTATCAAGCAGGGGAAAGGATTCCTCTGAGGCATCCCTATTAAAGATGGTATTACATAGTAAGCTGAGAGTCATTATGTAAATAATAGAAGTTAGAGGATTAGATAGAAAATAGTTAGTTAAAGTAGTTACAAAAGATTCTTTCCTTTCCTGTATATAAATGTACTGATCTTGTTCAGTTATGGATTAATAAAAAGTTCACTTTGAAATTTAATACTTCTGAATTCCTTTCTCTGTAAACTCAGAAGCTATCTTCTCCATGATAGCTTACAAATTTTTGAGAGAAAATGATAAAAAAATTTCAAATTAAAAAAAAAAAGAAAGAACAACTAAATTAAAATCTTCTGTCTATTTGTCTTCTTTTTTTTCAGCTAGAATTTTCTTAAACTATTTTATAGTTCAATTGAACGTTGTGCATCAAATAAAATCAATTTTCACAATTCAAACAGATTAGCTCAATTTTATAATTTTATAAGACTTGAGAATTATATATTCTTTTAAACTATTTTTTTTCTTTCCTAGCAACATTCATGCACATATTTTGAGAGAATTATGTTTTTTTCAAATCAAATGAAGGAAAATTAAATTGAAATCATTTCTATCTACTTATCTTTTTTTTTCAACCAAACTTTAATTATATAATTCAATTGAAAGGTATTGTCCATCAGATAGAATGATTTTTTACAATTTAGACAGATTTATTTGAATTTTTTAAAAAAAAAACTCGAGAATTAAATGTTCCTTCTAAACTACAGTATTATTTTCTTCACTAACAGGCTACAACATTCATGTAACGTTTTTCGAGAGGAAATGATTATTTTTTTTCAAATAAATAAAGGTAAATTAAATTAAAGTCATTTATATCTATTTCATTAAAAATTTTTCAACCAGGCTTTTATTAAAGATTAAACTGTTTCATGATCCAATGAAAAGTATTGTGCATTAAATAAAATCAATTTTCTCAAATTAGGTAGATTTACTAAACTTTAAAGTTTATGAGTTTCGAGAATTATGTTTCTTTCTACTATTTTTTTTTTCCTTCAGTTGCATTCATGTATGTTTTTTTATAGGAAAATAATTATTTTTTCCAAGTCAAATGAAAGAAATTTAACTTAATTTCGTATGTATGTTGAAGGAAATATAAATTAAAGTTATATGTATCTACAAATCATTTTCTTCAAGCACCAAACTTTTATTAAGCTATTAAATAATCTAGTTGTAAGACATTGTGCATCTAATAAAATTAATTTCATAATTTAGATAGATTTTATTTTCCTTTAAAATTTTATAAGACACTAGAAACATTTTTTTCTTTTAAACTGTTTTTTTCTTCATTAACAACATTCATGCATGTTTTTTTTTAGAGAGTGATTTTTTTTTTCCTAATCAAATGAAGGAAAACTAAATTAAAGTCATTTATATCTACTTATCATATATTTTCGGTCGGACTTTTATTAAACTATTTCATAATCCAATTGACAGCATTGTGCATGAAAGGATATCAATTTCACAATTCAGATGAATTTACGTGACTTTAAAATTTTATAAAACTTGAGAATCAAATTTTCCTTCTAAACTGTTTTTTCTTCACTCATTCATGCATGTTTTCTAAGAGAAAATATTTTTTTCTCAAATCAAATGAAGGAAAAGAAATTAAAATTGTATATATCTACTTAACATTATTTTTTTCAGACAGATATTTAGTAACCTATTTCACAATTCTATTAAAGGCATTGTGCATCAATCAAATATAATCATTTTTCACAATTCAGATAAATTTTTTCTAACTTTAAAATTTTACCAGACACAATCAAATTACTCTTCTAAACTAATTTTTTTTTTGCTTCTTCTTCTTTTAAATAGAGATTTAAAACACAATTTTTAAAAGACTGTTTGAACCGCCACACAGTGACGTAGACAAAGACACACATATTTTTCAGCAATATTTAAAATTTGCACTACCTTTAGTTCAATGTTGTTTCAAAAACAAAAAAAAATTAAATATATGATTTGAACTTATTTTAATAGTATAATATATCATGCTAAGACCTGTGTATAAATAATAAATCTATAATTTTTTGTAATGAAAAATTACACTAGGTTGAACGTAAATTATTAACATTGTGTTTTAACTTTTATCTAAACACTATACTAATTTTTGTATTAACAATTATAATAACAAACGAAATATTGACTGAACACCCATCTTAGAAAGTCGTAAATTAAAAATTTAAGAATCTGTTATTGAATTCGAATTAGTCAGGTTTGTGGATATATATATAAAAAAAATGAACTAGTAGGACCTAACCAGTCAGCAGGCGTCACATTGTGGGCTAAAATGGAGATTAAGGAAGGTAGTGGGTCGATTTACGTAAAATGGATGTGTTGAGCATGGAAATGGGACATCCTTTGCATGTGCGCCTTTCTCCTTCTTCATGTCTTTATTCAATTAACTCTAATTTATAATTAGTCTCAAAACCTTTTTACCTGAAAAATCAAAGCATGTCTTGTCATTATAATTTCTTATCAATTTTGCATGGAGAGATGACTTCATGTCTACATTATTTGCAAATTAATTACCTAAAGCTCTATACAGGTTTTTTTAACTTACAAAAGCAAAAAAAAAAAAAGTGGTGATATTTGATGTGTACGTGAATCAGTAGATACTACTGCAATAAATATATGATTTTTCGTCAATTATTTCGAAATAATAATAAAATTGTGGCTATAATAACATATATAGATATTTATAACCATTCCACTCTATAAATATCGCTAAAAATTTTAGTGACTCTGATATCAATAACATTAGCTCAATTACCATTAAAAAATTTGCGACAATACTAAAAGGAAACTAACTTTATTAGCACTAAATGTAACTTTTGATGTAGTGACTTGTGATTAGCGGTATACAATTGTTTTTGCAACAAATTAAAGAAATTATTGTAGGATCCTCAATTATCAGTATCAAGAGAAGATTCTTAAAAATCATCTTCAATCAAAATATACAATCTTTTTTTTACTCCACAAAGAAAAAAACTTAATATCATATAAAACGTTTAAATATATAAAAACAAATGCGAATCTTCTCCCCCAACCCCACGATCGCCACACTTGTTCATTTTTTCTTCTCAGAAAGAATAAAATAAAATATTAGTAGTAGTAATTTATAAATGGTCCAATGCCAAAGGTGGAGACCCTACACCACAGGCTCTCCTAATATTGCATGGCTCTCTTTTATTATATATCCACACAACATATTATTATAATTAAACTCCTATATCCCAACTGGTCTAACCTTCCAAAAACAGTACTACTATGCCTGCTTGAAGGCGAGTTTAATTAAGTAATTCTTTAAGCGGAATATAAATATATTAATAAACAATTATTTTCTACCTTTCATTTAATTTGACATAATTTGATTTTCAGTTTAAAATAAGTCATACATATGTTTGTTTGTGTGATTATAAAATAAATTACTATATAAATTGGGAGTATAAAAAAAATATAGGTATTAAAATTTAAGATAATAATGAAAAGTGAAATACTCACCAGAGACTTGTATAACCGCAAAGAGGGAAAAAAGGAAAGAAAATCCATTTCTGATTGGTAATAATTGTTACATGATTTGCTATACACCCAAAAGAATTTAAACTATTATGAATAAGAACAAAAGGATGGTGATATAATAATAATAATAATATTAAAGAAAATAAATGAACTAATTAAAGTGTTGCTGCTCTGGCCATGGCCAAAAATTGGTGTGATCATCAACTGGAGTAAACATGTTGCAGAATCCTTCATGTTGGACGGTTGGATCAATATTATTATTCTTGTTGCAATGGTTGAGATGATCAGGTGGTGTTGATGAGCTCTGAAGGAACTTGGCCAGAGGGACTGGGCCGGGTCCGGATGGAAAAACATTCTTGGAGTAAAATGGACTGTCACCTGATGATGTCCTTGTTCCCAGATTTACGTCTATGCTGTTGTTGTTGTTGTCGTCACTTCCGTTATTACTCCAACATCCTTCGTTTTCTTTATTCAGATTAAACATTATTGCGCCTCCGCCTGATGATTCTCTCTTCTTTACACTTAATAACTGCAGCTGTCACACCACAATTTTATATATAATCAATGAATAATTAATAACTGGAGTTGAAATTAATTAAAGTAATACGTACCTCGGAATGAAGTTCCTTGTTTTGAGCCTTGAGTGCATCATTATCAGTCTTAAGTGAATCAAAATGTCTTTTCAACATCTCATAATCTTTTTCCAATTGCTTTGTCTTCCACCTTGCTCTTCTATTCTGGAACCATATAGCAATCTGCCTGGGCTGCAACCCTAAAGCTCTAGCCAACTGTATTTTCCTCTCAGGGTCAAGCTTATTAGCCACTTCAAAGCTTCTCTCCAGTGCCTTCACTTGCTCCATATTAAGCCTCCTCTTCTTCTCCCCTAGTAATTGCGATGATCCATCATCATCCGACATTTCATTATCCTCCACACCCGAAAACGACATCGATCTCCTCATTAACATTGATGCTACACCTGCACATATATAATCCCACAAATTTAATTACCTATATGTGAAACATCGCTAATTTCAATTGTGATAAATGAAAATTGAATTCATGTGATAAGTGAAAGAAAAAAAATCGCTAATTCCTCAACTAGAAAGATATGTGAAGTGGAACAGAATTGACTGACGTTAATGTTAATCGATCTGAGTGAAACTTGAAGAATCATAATTCAAAAATATATATGATGAGTTCAATTTAAAACCTGAATTCGTGTCTTGTAATAGAGAAATTATTAAACTTACCATGATTGAAGTGATCTTGATGAGGAAGAGAAGGAGAAGGAAATAGTTTAGGAGAAGTGGAAGGAAGGTGATGATTATTATCTTGAAAATTGAGGGAAATATCAGGTGTACT